GGGCTTTGGGTTTAGAGTTTAGGGATGTTTAGGGTTTAGGGTATAGGGCTCCCTTGAAGGATTCCTTCAAGGGTTCTATAAGGGATACTATAAGGGTTTAAGGTGTAGGGGCCTTAGTAAATAGAATGGCCACTCATAGTATAATTACAAGAAGGAACCCCCAAAATAGTATAGGCAATTACCTAGGCCCCTACATGAAGGCTTGTCGCGGCATGGCTTCTTTGGTGGCTTACGAATCAGTATAGAAGCCCAGTTAATTACCAAGATTGTTCCTTAGGGTCCCGTAGTATAAGTGTACTATAAATAAAGGACCCCAGAACCCTGTTCTAAGTTTTAAGGTCCCCACATTAGGCTCTGCGTGTTTCATGGGGTTTTGGTGCCGATCACCTTAGGGAGAAAGGGGAGCGTCGGGTCTTGCAAGGTTAGAGAGTTTAGGGAGGGCTTAGGATTTAGGGGTTAAGGGGTTTAGGGGTTTAGGGTTTAGGCCTAAACTCTAAACCCTAAACCGGTTTAGGGTTTTAGGGAATTAGGGTTTAGGGTTTGGGGGGGCTTTAGGGATGCAAATGCAAGTTGAGGGTCTAGAGTGCAGGGGTTGCCCTGAATCACTTCACCTTGGGGTTTCATTTGTTGGGTTTCGGGGTTTAGGGTTTAGTTCATGGTTGGGAGAGTATGGGTTTAGGGTTTAGGGTTTAGGGGTTTAGGGTTTAGGGTTTAGGGGTGCGTGTATGGTGCATGTACAAAGGTGCAGCATCATATAGAGGCCTGAAGAACTAGTGGAAGTATCGCCTTATAGTGCCAATGCATCACGCTAGTCTAGACAAGCTTGTTCGAGCTCTTCACCTTGGAGTTGCGAGCAAAGGATCTAGGGAGTCTAAAGAGCCCAATAAGCCTCCAGAGAAAACATTCATGCAACCCAGTTAGAACCCGAAGTCGTTATTTTGAACAGCTATACGTAAGACTGTCTATGAATCCACCCACCAAGGAATTGCGGGGAGTCGAGCACTTGCCACTTCTTCGCCTTCTCAGCAGGCTCGCTCCCTAAACCCTAAACCCTAAACCCTAAACCCTAAACCCTAAACCCTAAACCCTAAACCCTAAACCCTTCAGTGTTTCCTGCAGGGTACGATGAAGGCCTTGGCATGGCTTGTGCTCAACGAGGGAGGGGTTGCAGAAGGGTTTCTACTGGCTTTACAAGGGGTCTTTAGAAGGTACTTAAAGGATCATGGGACTTAGTAAGTAGGGTTATAATTAAGGTAACTATACTTATAACCCAAATTAGGAGACTTATGTATTTATAAGGATACTGTTGATGGACAAAATCCTGCATGACCCAAGTCTAGTATAGTACCATAAATCCCATAGTTTAGGTATATAAGGTCATGTCCATCAGCCGTATCAGACGGCCGCGACGTTTTTTTGTGACAAAGCTTTGACGAGGGTTTTCCAGGGTCTGCCCCAGCAGTTCGAGAGAGTTTGGCTTCTGTTTCTGGCTGCTTCTGGGTCTTCCAGGGTCTGCGAGGTTCCGAACCACACAGCCCTTAAAAAGCTGTGGATCCAAGAGCCTACCGTCTCTACGAGCTCGGCACTACAACGCAGGATTTCGTAGGGTTGGGGTTTTTGTAGGGTCCACGTAGTGAAGCGCTGTACACCCTAAAGCTTGAAGTCTAGATGCGAGAGCTTTAAACCCCCAGAGCCCTGAAACACCAAGTCAACTCGATCCCGGCGTCCTTCCTATCAACTTTATTGCCTGCTGTAGTGTAGAAGCCTAAAATGATTACCAATGTTATTAGCGTCTAGGGTTCAGGGTGTAGGGTGATTCCCAATATTATTCCTTTGGGTTCCTTCCTATAAGTAAGTAATACTGTTAAGGCCCCTACATTAGGTGCCTCAGCCATTAACCATACTGCTCCGTGAGTTTTCCTTGGCCTTATAGCCCAAAACCCTAAACCCTAAACCCTAAACCCTAAACCCTCAACCCTCAACACTAAACCCTAAACCCTAAACCCTAAACCCTAAACCCTAAACCCACGGCTGGTTACCCACGGTTTCGGACTTTGAGAGTGGCTCGGGGGTGTAAAACTTAAGGGTTTAGGGATTTTAAGGGGTTTAGGGTTTCTGAGATTCCTGAGGGTTCCTTCTTATATTTATAATTTCACCGAAACCTTATTAAACCCTAAACCCTAAACCCTACCAAACCCTAAGCCCTAAACCCTAAACCCTAAACCCTATGAGGTCCCTTGTTGTTTAAGGGCTCCCCTTGTGCCCAGCGTGGCGCCAGGAAGCTTAGAGTGCCGGTACTTTCCGGCCTGCGATCTCGACAGGAGCGCCCGAAATCTGGGAAGATCCCGGGTTTAGGGTTTAGGGTTTAGGGCCTTTTAGGGGTTTAGGGTTTAGGGTTTCGCGTTTAGGGTTTAGCGTTTAGGGCCTTTTAGGGGTTTTGGAATGTTTGCGAAGATCCCGCTTGGGATTGAAGAGTTTTGGGTTCAGCGTTTAGGGGTTTTGGGGTCTAGGGGTTTAGGGTTTTGGAGTTTTGGATTTTGGGGTTTTGGTTTCCAGGGTTCAGGGTTTTTGGGTGTTTTGGGTTCAGGGTTTAGGGTTTTAGGGGTTTGGGGGTTTGGGGGTTTAGGGTTTAGGGTGCTTGGATTGAAGAGTTTTGGGTTCAGGGGTTCAGGGTTTAGGGGTTTAGGGTTTTAGGGGTTTAGGGTTTTGGGGTTTTGGGGATTGGGGTTGAGGAATTGAGGGTTCAGGGCTTCAGGGGTTTAGGGTTTAGGGGTTTAGGGTTTTGGGGTTTTGGTTTCAGGGTTTAGGG